CTTTTGGGACTTTGGGGGGATTTGTGGCTGGGGGGAGGGCCTTCGCTCATGTTTGGTCTGTAAATCCCAGTTCTGGTGTTTCCCCAATTTAATGCTGAGTTCTGGTGTTTCCCCAATCTAATGCTGATGTTGGTTACCTCATGTTATTAAAGGTTTGCTACTATACTGAGGCTCTGTGCTTGCCAGAGGGGAAGAATTGCCTCTTTTGAGGCACCCAGAGGTGTATGTAAGATTTCCCAGGTCACTGGGTGGGGGCTCGAGCCGGTGTTGTATTACCTTGTTGGGAGGAGACCCCTAGATACAGAACCCAGCCCTTGCTGCTATTTACTGGGCCTGGCAGAAGGGTTACACTTATAGAAAAGGCTAGAACATGGTTAAAATACAATGAAAATTCTGGCAAGTGAGCATTTGTGTTGTGATGTCTGCACGTCTAACTAAATTGCTATCAATCTGTGCGACCCAACGACTTTCACAGAGAGAGAAAACCCACAATACAGGATGGGCTGTAAAACACTTTCACATCTATATAGAGTGATACATTAGGGAATCTTTTAAGGCTCAAAAGCAGAGAAATAAATTTACCCTGTGTCGGGGTATGTCTACACTGCAACCTTGTTTAGAAATAAGCTATTCCAGAAGCTATCTTCTGGAATAGCTTATTTCAAAATAGAGCATCCACACTACAGGGAAGCCTCAAAATTAGTCCGAGGCAGGCTCCCCTAATGTGGATGTGAATTTAGAGCCCCAGGAGGCACTGGGGAGGAATAACTTTAGAATATGGCCCTGGTGGGGAGCTATTTTGACATAGCAGTAGTGAAGCATCCACACGCACCCTCTTCTGAAAAAGATTTTTCAGAAAAGGCCTTATTCCTCATGGAATGAGGTTTACCAACATCAGAAAAAGCCCTCCATTATTTCGCTTTTCTTTCAAAATAACGCTATTGCTGTGTGGATGCTAGTGTTGTTTTTTTCCGGAATAACAGTCGTTATTCCGGAAGAACAGTGGAGTGTAGATGCACCCTCTGTTACAAAAGTTACATCATTATACTAAAAGAAAAAAACATCCCCCAGGTTCCCATGAACAAATGATCTGGAATAGCCCAGAAAAGCCCAGCAGCAATTGCACCCAGAGATGAAACCGGGGTTGTGAGATTGGACCGATCACACTGTGCTGGGAGGTTCATTGGGATTGCCCTGCCCACGCTCAGACCTGTGACACTTTCTCCTGCAGCCCTCAGGAGTATGACTTACGATCATAGAATCCTAGGGCTAGAAGAGACCTCAGGAAGTCATCCAGTTCCACCCCCTGCCCAAAGCAGCACCAACCCCACTCAATCATCCCAGCCAGGGCTTTGTCAAGCCAGGACTTAAAAACCTCTAGGGATGGAGATTCCACCCCCTCCCTAGGTAACCCATTCCAGTGCTTCACCACCCTCCTAGGGAAATAGTTTTCCCTAATATCCAACCTAGACCTGCCCCACTGGGGGCTTGTGCCTCATTTCTCCCTCACGTCCTTCCTCTTACCCCTCCCTAACCCCCCTTCCTGATGTCAAATAAAAGACATGTATTCTCATGAACACAAACTCTCTTTATTTAACAAAACTGGAGGTGGGGGAATGAAACTCTGGTGAGACTGGGGAAAGGAGGTGGGAGAGGGGAAGAGAGAGGGTGGGAGAGGGGAGGGGGAAACCCTGGGAGGAGGAAGCTGGAAGGGGGAAGCAAGAGGAAGGAGGAGGACGGGAAGCTCAGGGCTCAGGGGTGAGGGTTAGGTCTTGCCAGACCAACTTCATTGTCATGCAAACCTGCTCCAGGGTTGCATGTGGCCTTTGGTGGCCAGGCTGGCAGCTATCCTGCCCTAGACGGGGGGGCCAGAACTGGCCTCACCAGTGCTGAATAGAAGGGAATAATCACTTCTCTAGATCTGCTGGCAATGCTCCTCCTAATGCAACCCAATATGCCATTAGCCTTCTTGGCTACAAGGGAACACTGTTGACTCATATTCAGCATCTCATCCACAGTAATCCCCAGATCCTTTTCTGTCCAACTGCTTCTTAGCCAGTCTGTAACTATGCTTGGGATTCTTCTGTACCAAGGGCAGGACTCTGCACTTGTCTGTGTTGTACCTCATCAGATTTCTTTTGGCCTAGTCCTCCAATTTGTCTGTCTCACTCTTGACACTATCCCTACCCTTTAGCATATCTACCTCACCCCCTAGCTTAGTGTCATCTGCAAACTTGCTAAGGGTGCAATCCATGCCCTCATCCAGATCATTAATAAAGACGTTGAACAAAACTAGCCCTAGAACTGATCCTTGGGGCACTCTGCTTGAAACTGACCACTAAGACGTTAATCACGACCTGTTGGGCCCAACAATCTAGCCAGCTTCCTATCCCCCTTACAGTCCATTTATCCAATCCATACTTCCTTCACTTGCTAGCAAGAATATTGTGGGAAACCGTATCAAAAGCTTTGCTAAAATCAAGGTATATCACATCCACCGACTTCCCCATGTCCACAGAGCCAGTTACCTCATAATAGAAGCTAATCAAATTGGTCAGGCACGACTTGCTCTTGGTGAATCCATGTTGACTATTCCTGATCACTTTCCCCTCTTCCAAGTGTTTAAAAATGGATTCCTTGAGGATTCTCTCCATGATTTTTCCAGGGACTGAGGTGAGGTTGACTGGTCTATTGTTCCCTGGATTGTCCTTCTTCCCTTTTTAAAAAGATGGGCACTGCATTTGTCTTTTTCCAATCATCCGGGACCTCTCCCCAGCTCCACGAGTTTTTAAAGATAATGGCCAAAGGCTCTGCAATGACATCTTCCAACTCCCTCAGTACCCTCAGATGCATTAAATCCAGACCCATGGATTTGGGTATGTCTAGCTTTTCTAAATAGTTTTCTAAATTGTTTTTAACCTGTTCTTTCTCCACCAAGAGCTGCCCACCTCCTTCCTGTAGATCACAGAAATCGCTCTGGGATTCCTGAGCACAGAGATCCCATGCCGTTGTGCTCAGTAAACTTTGGGGAAGTGTGTCAGCCGACGGTCAGGGCAGTGAGTCCCTTATGACCGGCTGAAGTTCTTTTAAATTGTGCTTGGTTCTGTTACAGCAACTGAAGGAGTCAGGTTAAAGCTTAAACAGTTACTATTTTATTGTTACAGGGTAAACTTAGTTGTTAAATGCTACTACTGTGTTACAGATAACACAGACACTACAAAGGACAGGACAGAAATTACACTAAGAAGTCACTTACAGGTACCATGAAACCCTTTGGTTCTCTGAGCTCTTATTAAATGCATGCAAAATAGACACATAACAGGTATATATTCTCACCCCTGCGTTCCAGACTTGGCGTGGCCAGCGTCTTTCTCTCAATCCCTCGGGAAGAAGTAGGGCGAGGTTGGGCGTCCCACAGACCTCGGGAGACAATCAATACCTGCCAGCAGGTATAGATGATTGGAGCTCAAATGGGGTGGGCTACCAAACCCTCTTTATACCCCTTGGGTCATGTAGGCTTCTTCCTGGGCTCAAGTGGCCAATTAGGAAAAATGGCTTTGAATGCCAAGTTTCCCACGAAGGGTGCAAAGCATAATTTACACCTGGGAAAATGCAGACAATGGGCACCTCTGGTATGTGATGGGCGAAGATTCCTCTCCTGGGACAGTGCAGGCGTGTCAATTACTGGTACTAGCCATCAGGGCGACGGGAGGCCCCGGGTCGTCAGCTAGCCCATTTACTGTCTGGTTTCTGTTTATGGTAGAGTCAGGGACAGGCACCACACCTGCGTTCCCAGGGCATCAAAGGCTGACTGCCTTTCTCTTGTAGCCATCACGGCGACGGGAGGCCTCCCAGTCGTCAGCTAGCCCATTTACTGTCTGGTTTCTGTTTATGGTAGAATAAGGGACAGGCACCACACCTGCGTTCCCAGGGCATCAAAGGCTGACTGCCTTTCTCTTGCTCTCTGGGGGGGGGGAAAAACAAGATGGGGCTCGTGGAAAAACAAGATGGGGTTTTGTGTCTGGCTACAAAGTGCAGCAATAGAATGGGGAGAGGATAAAACTCTCCATGCGGAGCCAGAGGTTCCTGTGCCAAGGGTGGAGGGTGAGGGTCATGGAGGAAGGCGGGAAGCCGCAGACTCACCCATCCTCATCCAATGGCACTGGATGGGAAAACCACGTTTCACTGTCCCACTGTTTTAGCAGCTAGTGAGTTCCTTCCATCAGGAAGGAAATGGACAAGCAATAAAAGTGGCCTAGAGTCATGTGAGAATGTTTGGGAAGGAGCCAATTGGCGCCCTCGGGGGACTAGCAATCACTCTGCTAACAGGGAAGGAGCAGGACACTGAAATCTGGTGGAGGGTTCCAGAGACGCGATGGCCAATCCCCACCACGTTTCCTGCCACAGAGGCGCCCTCTGAGGTGCATGCTGCAGAGGCAGAGGTATGGTCTCTGGACCTCCCACAAAAGGCTGTGTGGAAATCACCCCCCCTCCTCGGCGCTGTCTGACTACAGGGGGCAGGGATAAGGCAGAGCAGGCATCCCCCCCCCCACGTTCTCTCTGTTTTTTTATCCCATATTCCCCGGCGCCCAAATCCTCCTGCTCCCCAGCCATTCCCTCCCCAGGCAGGGCCTGCCAAGCCACAAGGAGCCGCTCTGTACCCGCTGCCCTTCGTGCAGTTACCAGGACAGACGTGGATACACATTTTATATCTGCACAGGGCTCTGAGCGTAAGAGCCCAGCTAGCTGCTGTGAGGAACTGTGGTATGGACCCTCCCCCTTCCCCGGGAAGGGAGCTGTCATTGCTCATGTTAGTTAGCAGGGGCCAGGATCCACTGTCGCGGTGTCCTCACGACATCGAGTTGATGTTGATAACCAGAAGGCTGCTTGCTTGGGTCCTCCGTGATGTGTGCGGTGTATATTAATGCACTTAGTCTTCACAGCAGGATCCAGGAGAGCCCCCACAGACCACAAATCAGATAAGGATTGAAGGTGCCAGGCTAAGTTTATTGTGAAGCGAAGTACTGTACATTAATAGTTGTTAATAGACTCTACTGAGCCACTATGTATTTGTACCCCGTAACAATGAAATGGCTCAAAACAAGGAAACACTTTCATTGCCTCCCTAGGCCATTCAAAGACTGTACCCCAAGACACCACCTTATATACAGTTACAAATATATCACTGCTGATGTGTTGCCCTCTGATGTTGCCATGCTACCACAAATCACCTTGTGCCTCATGATCTGATTAGACCATCTCCATCACTCATGTATCAATCTCGACATTTTCCTGACCCTGAGTTGGTATCTGTGGGGAGTAACCATCTAGCTATTATCTTAGACCCTTTTCCTGAACTGAGAAGCAGACTTCGAGGCCCCTCTGAGGGTACGTCTAGACTACAGGTTTTTTTTTTTTTTAAACTTCACCTGAGTCTAGACTGTCATCGCATTCTTTTGAAATTAAATCGAAAGAACATGGTGGGTTTTTTGATAGTGGTGAACCTCCTTTTACGACGAAGAACGCCTTTTTTTCAAAAGAGCTCTTTTGAAAAAAGACACTTTTGAACACAAACAGGGCTTTTTCGAAAGAAAGCGTTCAGATTTCCTGTGTGCTCTCTTTAGAAAAAGTGGATCGCTTTTTTGAAAGTCACGTGGCTGTCTAGATGATCTCTTTCAAAAATGGGATGGGACGGGAGAGGGGGAACTTGAGGCAGGCACAGGGAGCATCTGGAGGAGTTTGTGTCTCTTCATTCTCCCCCCTCCGGCCCAGCAGCTCTGGCTGCAGCTGGCAGAAGGGGCAATTGCCCCCCTGCCTGCCTGAGGTTTGCTCAGACCAGGCAGAGTCAGTGGGTCACTGACCAGTTAATTGTTGGGTCCTGCTGTGCCCTCACCCTAGCGCTGGACAGCTGGATCCCTGGGAGTCAAATGCCACTCATCTGTGTGTGGGAATTAGGAAGGGCACTAAGAGAATTTCTCTTGGGTGTGGAGGAGTCTCTGGTGCCCAAGCGCTAATAGAAGTGTTTTACACACCAGCTAATGAAATCTGAAAAGTTTTTTCCCTGGGGTATTTGCTGATGCAGGACTTGTGTGGATTTTCTGATGTCTAGTAAGGTTTGAAGTGTACCTGAAGCTTTTCCCACAATCAAGGCATTTATATGGTCTCTCTCCTGTGTGGATTCTCTCATGACCAATGAGAGCTGATCGCTCAGCGAAACCTTTCCCACAATCAGGGCATGTATATGGTCTCTCTCCCGTGTGGGTTCTCTCATGGACAGTAAGGGCTGATCCTTGAGTGAAACCTTTCCCACACTCATGGCATTTATATGGTCTCTCTCCCGTGTGCACCCTCTGATGGATAATAAGGTATGAACTCTGACTGAAGCTTTTCCCACAATCCAAGCACTTATATGGTTTCTCTCCCGTGTGGGTTCTCTTGTGGATAGTAAGTGCTGATCGCATGGTGAAACTTTTCCCACATTCATGGCATTTATATGGTCTTTCTCCTGTGTGGGTTCTCTCATGGTCAGTAAGGTCTGATCGCTGAGTGAAACCTTTCCCACACTCATGGCATTTATATGGTCTCTCTCCTGTGTGGGTTCTTTCATGGACAGTAAGGGTTGATCGGTCAATGAAACCTTTCCCACACTCATGGCATTTATATGGTCTCTCGCCCGTATGGGTTCGCTCATGGAGACTAAGGACTGATCGCTGATTGAAATCTTTTCCACACTCATGGCATTTATATGGTCTCTCTCCTGTGTGCAGTCTTTGATGGATAATAAGATGTGAAGTCTGACTGAAGCTTTCCCCACAATCCAAGCACTTATATGGCTTCTCTCCTGTGTGGGTTCTCCCATGGACAATAAGGGTTGATCGCTCAATGAAACCTTTCCCACACTCATGGCATTTATATGGCCTCACTCCTGTGTGGATTTTCTCGTGTCTAATGAGGTTTGACCTCTGACTGAAGTTTTTCCCACATTCCAAGCAGCTATAGGGCCGCTCTTTTGTGTGGATTTTCTGATGTCTGCTAAGGTGCAAACTCAAAGCGAAGCTTTTCCCACCCTCAAGGCATGTATGGGATTTCTCTCCCATGTGGATACTCTCATGTTCAGTATGGGATGACCGTTCAGTCACACTTTTTCCACACTCCAGGCATTTGCAGAGCCTCTTTCCTGTGTGCCCTCTCTGGGGCAGAATAAGGCCTGACTTCTCATGGAATCTTTTCCCACAGTCTGAGCATTCATAGGATTTTTTTCCATTGAGAGGTGTCTGCTGGGCTGAAGTTTCCTTAGGATCGTTGGATCCTCCCAAACATTCAATGGATTCCTCTGCTTTCCTGCTTGGATTGTTCTCCAGTTGCCTCTCTGCCCTGTGTCGATTTCCCCAGGCTTCCCCCTGTTCTACACACTGGGAAAAATCCCCTTCAGCTCCTTCCAAAAATGTTCCTTGTGATTCTACAGTTCCGGGACCTTCCCGTGGTCGATTCTCCTCATTGTTCTCCCTCACTGCCCTATCACCTGTTGGGGGAGAGAGAATCCAGGCAGGAGTCACCGTCTGTGCTGGGGAGAAAGGACCAAGAGGGGAATGGCAAAGGCAGAGAGCACAACACAATAATAGTTCAGGAAACTGAGACATTGGATTCTGCCTCCACACCCCACCCAAGCACTCCCAGGGAAGGAAACGTAGGGAGGAAACTCCTGACAGCTAACAGGATGGCTGGGAAGTTGTGACAGGTATTTGTCAGCATGATACCTGCAGCCCTACCTGGGGGACATGGGGCAGAAGTGAGGGCTCTCGCTCTCGGCTCATTTTTGGGACTCCCAGGTTTTTCCTGCACACACTGGAAGATTTCTGTGTCAGCTCCCCTGACTCCTCACCTGTGCAGGTGGCTTTCAAGATCCCCATAGCTTTGGAGGGCTGGGGATCTGGGACCCACGGCTCTTCCCCTTGTTCCAGCCGGGCGATCAGGTCAGCTTTAGGAATGGGGAATCCTGCACGGGGTGAAATCAGGCAAAGTGAAGGCA